TTGATATTATTATTGTTGTTATGAATTGTAAATTTTATAATGGATTTGATATTTTGTCTGCAGTGTATTTGGAAATTTGTGTGGAATTCGATTGTTCGTCTGTAATGTATGGATGTAAATTAGACTTTTCTCTCGAGTAAGGTAGAGGATGTCATTTGTCTATGAGCAAATGTCACGTGAAGCGAGCACACCAAACGCCCTTCATTATCATTTTGCTTGCTATGTAAAACTTGTAGTGATTAAGGATATGGTTGAATTTGTCATTTGTTACAATTCTCTTGCAATATTTTAACGAGTCGTCGTCATATGGATGTTCATTGATATGCTTATTCGTTGTCTGGATGATACTTTGCTGGCATGTTTGTTTTGTAGGTATTTTTGGCGATATTGTTAAGTATTATTGTTTTTATTATGAGCATTGAGATTACTTTGATTATTGATATTGTCGAGCGAATAAAGCTTACAAGTAATGAAACGAGTGAAAATGCCCAAAAATGAGGTGCACTTGTTTCAGGGTGTGTGCCAAGTTCGTGTGGTTTTCGTGGCTCGCTTAGCTCTTCAGCGCAACTTCCAGATGCACTTGGCGGCTTCATAGCGCCACCTGAAGTGACCGCTATATTGGGTGCAGCATCGAAAAGCGGGGAGTCTACTGATGGCACCGAGCGATCGAGTGCTCAAGAAGGTCTCACAGAGCCATTCGACGGCATTCTGAGCGAGTTGGGTGATGAGATGCACTTGAAAATGCGAGTGGCAGAGGAGCCGTGGTGCAGGTATGATCACGCTCAGTTGTCACAGACCTATGTGGCGCTGTGCTCTCTGTTGATATTGGGCGACGATCTACAAAAAGTGGATCGTAAAAGTGTTTTTTCGGGACTGAAAGCACTCCAGATGCCCGACGGAAGGTTGGCGTTTTTTTTTTGCAATTTTCTATTATGTCTTCGAGAATTTTCGCGCGATTCACGGGAATTTTTGAATAATTTTCATAATTTTCATCGAATAGAGGGTTTTGGACTCGTAAAACTTTCAACAAAATGTATATTTATGGTTTTATGAAACGATTCATTAGCAGTACGATGTATGTAAAACGCTGAGATCAAAACGAACTGATCTGTATAAAACAGGAGCAGTTAATTGAGTGGAAGACTGGCAAAGCATAGCCTGACTCAAGCTCAGTGACATTGATAAACCGCTAGATTTGGGACAAAACGTTCGTTTGCGAGTGAGCATCGAACCTGCGATATGTTGACATATATTTCATATATGGTCATGAGGCACTTGTTCACTTTGGGGGACCCGCACACGAGCACGCTCTCGCACAGCGACAAACACGCTCCACACTACGAGCGACGCTTTCACGAGGCCACGCCTACTGCGCACGGCCTCAGCCTAAGCCTAAGCCTGAGCTGGCTTGTTAGACACTGCGGTACCATCGAGCGATCTGAGGCTACGCTTATGTGAGGCTGAGGTTACACTTAGGCTGAGGCCATGAGCAGTAGGCGTGGCCTTAGTTGCTATACGCAAGCGTGCTCGCGTGCGGGTCCCCCAAAGTAAACAAGTGCCTGATAATCAAAATTATCTGTGTGTAGTCAGCGAATGAATATTTAATTTCAGTTTCTGTAGTCACTTGGAGAGTGAGAGTGACATGCGTTTTGTGTATTGTGCAATGGCGGTGTGCTATATTCTGAACGATTTCTCGGCGATCGATCTGCAAAGAAGTCTGAACTTTATTCGGAAGAGCTTTTGTTACGATGGCGGTTTCGGGCAGAGGCCTTTGCTGGAAAGTCATGGTGAGACTTATTTGTGAGTGATGATGCTCAAAATGGCACTTTTTTACTTTGGGGGTCGCACGCGAGCACGCTCGCGTGTGACAACCGATGCCACGCCTACTGCGCATGGCCCCGGCCTAAGTGTGACCTCAGCCTCATCTAAGCGTAGCATCAGATCACAACGGGGTTTAGCAAGCGAGTTCAGGCTTAGGCTTAGGCTTTTGTTGGAACTACGCTCAGGCTGAGGCCATGCGGAGTGGGCGTGTCCTCGGTCCATGTGAAAGTGTCGTTCATGTTGTGCGAGCGTACGTGTGTCTCGTTGTAGACGAGCGTGCGAGCCCCTAAAGTAAAAAAGTGCCCTAATAATGAATAATTGAGGTGATAATAAGAACAAATTGAGGTGGTTCCACGTACTGCGCAGTGGCGTGTTTGGCGCTGAGCGGTCATCTGTGGGATGGAAGTGTGCTGAATGCGAAGCAAATAGAACGACTGAAGAGGTGGTGTGTACTGAAGCAGAACGACGGATTCCACGGAAGGGCGAATAAACCTGACGATAGTTGTTACGCATTCTGGGTGGGGGCCACCCTCAAGGTCTTGAAATTTGTTGATTTGGTTATTATTACTATTGCCGTTGTATTGTTTATAAGAATTGCTATTATTTATATAAATGTGAGCATTTTGTCTCATTTCAAGAAGCATTATTGGGTTATTGAATGGTTATTTATTATTGATGTAATTGAATTCAGATGCTCGATGCATACAGCCTAATCGATCGTGACGCACTTCGATCATTTTTGCTATCGGTTCAAGATCAAAGAATTGGAGGATTTTGTAAATTTGAAGACTCGAATTACTCAGGTGAGAGAGATCCTTTAATAACTCACTGATAAATAAATATAGCTGTGAACGTTTCCTTCAGAGTATTTTGTACTGTGATATTTTTGTGTAGTTATTATTATAGTCATAATTCAATGGAATAAGCATGCAATAAATTTAATAGTAAATAACTTAAAATTTAATGATAACAATAATATTAACAA